TCATAACTCAAATAATAAAGAAAATTGTCAGAAATACTGTATTTGATGTTATAATAGGCCTACTTAAATTTAATTTATAATCCCCTTAAGGCCAAAAAGTATTATTTGCACCCAACCTCACCTAAAATGTATTCATTCTTTTTGTTTATTTTGTAGATAACTGACCAACAAAAATACATTAAATTAAAGATACAAATTATACAGAGCAAAATTTATTTACAAAAAAGCATTTTTCCAACAAAACTAGGCTATATGAATCAAAAATTTTGATGTTTCCTGTTGCTATTTTGGGTTTTTCATCTATTTTTTTATTTAGTCTTATCAGGTAAGAATCCAAAGTAATTCAAAATATCACTTTGTAAGTCACTCTTTTTAAAAGATTGCCGTGGTTGTTGTAACTACTTATATTAACAGAAAGAGAAATAAACTGATTCAAATGTGCGTTCGAACTGAAGTGCTAGAAAACGTGCAATAGGCTACCATAGAAGGTGCCAATTCTACAAAGTTTTGCAACCCTAAAAGGCTCCGCAGACTATTCAAATGAAATGGTTTACTGTTGCACAAATGTGTGAGCATTTTGTGACTTTTCCACATGCAACATTTTCTATTGTAAATAAACCATTATTGACGATACTACCGTTTATAAACTACAGTGGCATTGCCAGTATTTTGGAGCCATAGTATATTGATACTACCATAGTACCGGCAAACCATGCAACCCTAAGTCATACACAATATTAATTCTTTTTCCACTGCACCATGACTTTATATTCTATACTGTACATTATTTCTGTTAGATGACAAGACTTTTCTAAGCAAACCTTACTGACCTCCTAATTAAATAATTAAAAATCAAGGCATGATCATATTTTATTTTGGTGAAATAAGCCTAATCTAGAAGCCTTTGCCTCTCACATAAGCCACTTCTGATACCAAAATGATCAACTAGAAGTCAAGTTATCATTTGTTGTTGTTCCTAAAACTTGGATAAGTGACAAGACTTTTGTCTGGCAGTGTACTGCACACTAATAAACTGTTTGTTCAGATTTAAAGGGATAGTTCACCCCAAAATAAAAATTAAATACTCTTTATTTACCTAAAGTGGTTACAAAGATTTATGGGTTTCTTTATTCTGTTCGATAAAAAAGAAGATAGTTTGAAGAAAGCTGAAAACCGGTAACCATTGACATTGCTAGTCGGAAAAACAAAAACTAAGGTCAATAGTTTAACAGTTTTCTAGCATTTTTCAAAACATCTTCTACTGCGTTCAACAAAAGAAAGAAATTTAAGTGGGTTTGAAATAGTAAGGTCTGAGTTAAAAAAATGACAGAATTTTCAGTTTTAGATGAACTCTTCATTCGGAAAAAGCTTGTAAAGCAAGACAACTGTCTGCACGTAATCTTGCATAGCTCTTCTCCCTGTTGACAGCACTAAACACCCTCGTTAGAAATCATCTGACAGGCAATCAGTAGCAGGCATGAGCGATCAAGCCCTGAGGAACTGTCTTGCATGCCCATTCATTTCTCACCCCTTCCGTTGCACTTCCAGAGATGATCCGTAGCTGCGGTGCGAACATCGCTCTGCTCCATTTCTGACCATCTAACCACAGGCCTGGACCAGGAGAAACCCACCAGACATCTGTGTTCCATCTCCAGCAGACCCTCGTACAGACAAACATACATCGCGGCTCACACACGATGCTCGTCTCCTACTGTTTATGGCTAAAACAGACGGAAAGGGTACAGATATATTTACAGAGTGAGGAGAGGAGTGAAGCTTCGAGTCCCTTCAGTTTTACTGTGGACCGTTTATCTCAAGACGACAGGAATGTTTATGTCAGCTGAAGAGTAGAAGTGATCAACGTAATTTATTAGACACAGTTAAAAGTCTTTCGAATGTCGTTGTTTTAGTCTGATCAGTCTTATTTTGTTGACGTTATATATTTTACATTTGCACAATATGGCACAGTGGGGTAAAGGTCATCAAACCTTGATATCTTGACTTTCAGTCACACAAACAGCTGCTCGAAATACACAAACTGATCAGTTTGAGGTGTGTGTATGTGTCTGTTTTTTTCCCTTCCTGAATATTTAATAGCCTACATGTCTCTGCATGTTTAACTCTTAGACAAGAACCATACAATAAGATTACACATAATAACAAAGCCTGTGATTTTCATGTCAAGGATGACGTGATGCTCTTGAGAAAAAAAAACCTTTCAAAAGTGAGGGGGGAAGATTAAACAAAAGGAATATTATTACTTGAGAAGATTTCCAATGGATTTCTCAAGAATATCTTCCTAAGAAGTTTCTTATGAAAAGTTTGCAAGAATTTTCCCTTTAACTTTAATTTTTTTTTTATTTTTGGCTAATGTCACTAGTTAACACTATTAACACTTAAATGCATTTTTTTCAACACCCCTGCTGAAAAAACTGCTTAAATCAGCCTAGGCTGGTTGGCTGGTTTTAGCTGGTTGACCAAAATGTTTTCAGAGGTCTTTTGGCCATTTCCAGCCTGGTCTTAGCTGGTCGGGCTGGAAAATGACCAGCTAAATCCAGCTGAAACCAACTTGACCAGCCTGGTTTAAGCTAGCTGGTTTTGGCTAGGCTCCCAGCCTGGCTAGGCTGGTCAAGCTAGTTTTAGCAGGTCATCTCCCAGCCTGACCAGTTAAGACCAGGTTGGAAATGGCTGGACACCAGCCTGGAAATGGCCAAAACCCCTCTAAAACCAGGGTGGTCAACCAGCTAAAACCAGCCAACCAGCCTAGGCTGGTTTAAGCCTTTTTTTTTTTTCTGTAGGGACATCCCATAATTTTTAAAATATCAGCCTTTATCAAATGGTTGATATGTCAGTTTAAGGTAATTGACAAAGTAATTGACAGCAGACAGCATATATATATATATATATATATATATATATATATATATATATATATATATATATATATAATTTTTTAATGTAACAATTCACAGACCCTATAACCCTTACCATAGAACAAAACTGCTGTCAATTACTTTGTCAATTATCTTATATATATACAGTATGTGTGTGTGTGTGTGTGTGTGTGTGTGTGTGTGTGTGTGTGTGTGTGTGTGTGTGTGTGTGTACTCAAAATAAAGAGAATTTACTTGCAGGTAAAGTGAACTACCTGAATAATTAGACATGGTTGGATGACAAGGAAAAAGGAGGCGTCACAAGGCAAATGCTGTTGACCACCATAGTGTTTCTATCTGGAACACAAATAATAAGCCATGTATGCTAGTTTAAATAAGTTTACTATGTGAATAAAACATTTGGGGATCTACACAACTAGTCAACAGTCATCCTGTTTTTAGATGATTTTTAAGAATGTTCTTTTCAAGATTTGGAATTCTTTTTAAGCTTTGTCTTTAGAACAATCTTAAGATGAGGACATTCTTAAGAAGGTTTTTAGGAATGCAAAATATTCCCTTTTTTATGTTTTGTGAATCTGTCCCCATGCAGTTGTGTCTTTAGAGACTATATGTTCAAAATAACATCTTAAATCATCTTTATGTGGATTGGTGTACTAACTGCTCTTCAAACATGGTCACAAATAGTTTTGGAGAGGTTTTGGACACTTTTCAGCAAGTCTAACTTAAAGAATCATACATTACTGAGACTAACTAACTGGTTTAAACCTGCACTTTTCAACCAGAGGGCTGAGGTCCACTCAACAAACAATCAAAAATCTTTATTTTAATTCACCCTCTTAAGTTATATTTATTCATAAAAAAATATTTTCGGCTTAGTCCCTTTATTAATCTGGGTTAACCACAGCTGAATGAACCGCCAATTTATCCAGCATATGCTTTACACAGTGGATGCCCTTCCAGCTGCAATCACTATGTCTTTGGACTTGTGGGGGAAACCAGAGCACCCGGAGGAAGCCCACATGAACAGCGGGAGAACATGCAAACTCCACAGTGAAATACCAACTGATCCATCTAAGGCTTGAACTAGCAACCATTTTGCTGTGAGGCGATCGTGCTGCCCACTGTGCCCCCATAACGGCCACCTTTTATACATTATAAAAAAATAATTACTATAGAATTTTTTAAATATAAAATAAAATAAAATATGAGGGCATCACGGTGGTGCAGTGGGAAGCACAATCGTCTCACAGCAAGAAGGTTGCTGGTTCGAGCTCCGACTGGGTAAGCTGGCATTTCTGTGTGGAGTTTGCATATTCTCCTCGTGTTTGCCTTGGTTTCCTCCTGGTGTTCTGGTTTCCCCCACAAGTCCAAAAACATGCAGTACGGATGGATTGGGTAAGTTAAATTGTCTATAGTCTATGTGTGTGAATGAGTGTGTATGGATGTTTCCCAGTGATGGGTTGCAGCTGGAAGGGTATTTCGGTGTAAGCCGAAAAGAAAAAGAATTAATGAATAAATAAAATAATAATAAAATTTTATTTAATTTTTTATAATTTTTATACACATTTTGTATAAATCTAATTACTTATATTTATATACCGGTACAAGTAAACTTTTGTAAAGATTTTATAATTATGGGCCGGAGGATTTCTTTGAAAGATCATACAATTTAACAACTTCATAAAAATGTATAACTAGTTTTATAGATAAATCATTAAAAATTTTAAACTATTTTTACAAATATATGTATGATGAAAAGATCTTAATAATGTACAACTATACTTAATTTTCTTTCAATAAAACATGAACAAGCAGAAAAGTCACGAGGCTTTTGAATAATACTGTAGTCAACAGGCAGACAAGGAGGAGTCAAAGGGGTTAAGAATATCTCATTTTAAAAGGACCAAATCTCACATCTGGGCTTTACTGACTAATTGTGTTCTCAGCTGAAAGATTCAGCTATTCATTATAAGACAAAAAAATGAATTAAATATATATTAATGATGTTTTAAAATAATATTGCAATATCGCATCTATATAGCCTATCAGGATATAATATAACAGGATATCAGTGGGATATCTTGCATGAGGAAAAGGATTAAGGAAGTCATGAAGACTTTGTAGCTCGTGTTGCCTTACCTTGAGAAACTCTTAAGACTCAACCCCTCAGCGTCTACACACACACACACACTTCAGTCTTCAAGCAGCACTAGTGGCTGCATGTGTGTGTGGGACAGACTCTACCCTCCCACGGCCGCGCGCTGAGCCAACAAGAAGGAGTTTATTCAGCGTCCCGTCGCTGATTTCAATTTGTTTGTCACTAACCGCGTATCTACCCACGTCTTAGGAATGCCATGGCCACTCAGAACAACCAGGATTACTACAGGTCGGTCAGCAGCGAGTCCACCACATACATGATGGTCCCGGCGAACAGCCGCGGGCGAGACTCGCCGTCAAAGTTATGGATCGCGATGGTCGTGATCGTGGTGGTCGTCCTGCAGATCGCGTCCACCACGGGGCTCTTTGTCTACTTAAACATGTCTTTATCGCAGGTGAGACAATGTTTGCACTCTTATTATATCTTTGGGTGAACTTTAAAAGTTTGTGAGTGAGTATTTTTGAGCACCACAGGCGCGTACGCTGATTAGACAGCAATGTTTACTCGCTAATATTCCCCTAAAATGATATCAGTGTAGGCAGCTCACTATGCTGTGGGATACAGTCCTGCCTGCAAACGAGGAGAACTTTTGCAAAGTTGCAGACTGGTGATAAATCAGTTAATATGACTAGATAAATTGCACCAGGATGAATTAAACACTGTAAGGGGAAGCGAAGTATGCATTGGAACTGGAAAATGGGTCATTTCTTGTCACTTAATGTGATTACTTGATTGTCTTTCTGTGAGGATTGATGCTTTAAATGGTTTTCATTTACAAATAACAAGCACAATGATTCACATCAGACTGTTTACAGTAACTGAATCACGTTTGAAATGTGCATTTAGCAATAATAATAATAATAATAATAATAATAATAATAACTTTTAAAATGATTTTTTATAATCATTATAACACTTTAGTTCAGGTCACAATTCACGGTATTAATAAACCATTATCCAACAATTCCAGCTTAATAAACTACTAATTAGCTGTTTATTAATAGTTAGTAAGGTAGTAGTTGGGTTTAGGTGAATAAGGTTGTACTTTATAACTACTAATGAACAATTAATATCTTAATAATAGGCAGGCAATACGCATGGATTGTGACCTAAAGTGTTACCTTATTATTATAAATATTTAATATTTTGTTTTGGTTTTGCAATTTTAAATAATGTATAATAATAATAATAATAATAATAATAATAATAATTATTATTATTATTATTATTATTATTATTATTATATAATACTTATTATTGTTATTATTATTATTATTATTATTATTATTATCAATTGCTATTGCAATAATAATAATAATAATAATAATAATAATAATAACTATTACAAACTTATTTTTAATGTGTGCAAGCTGGCAGATTAAAAGTTTGCAAAACCACACATGAACCCAACAAAAACACGATTTCCCAATCAAAACAATCAGACAAGGAAGTAATGCACTTGTTTTGCAACATTGCATTGTTAGAAACACGAAAGGTCCTGTTTACTGCCTCTTCTCGATGAAGTTTTAGGGTAATAGAAAGATAACAACAGGTGTTTATGATAACATTACATAGAAAACAACAACAAAAGTACTCTATGAATCAAAATCATAAAGTTGACATCTTCGAATAAACGTTATTTGAACAGTAACAAGTCGTTATGTAGTGCATATCAGTCATGTTCTAGCTTTCATTAAATGACTGAATAATAGACAGTCAAACCTTCACCAGTATAGTTGAAGGCTAATCACGTCGAAATGCTAAAAAAATAGTTGAAATGAACATTTTCTAGTGTACTCTTCCTCTAGTGGTTCTAAACCTTTATGAGTTTCTCTTGTCTGTTGAACACAGAATAAGATACTCTACAAAACGTTTAAAACCTGTAACCATTGACTTACATAGTTGGAAAAACAATTAATATGTAGGTCAGTGGTTACATGTTTTCAGCATTTTTCAAAACGTCTTTTTTTGAGTTCAAAAGAAGAAAGAATTTCAAACAGGATTGTGACCAATGAAAGATGAGTTAACGATAACAGAATGTTTCGTTTTGGGTGAACTATCTCTTTAAGAAGAAAGATTAAGTTAGGATTCTGTAGGCACTGTTGAACATTAAACTCTGAACCGCATCTGTTTAAGGTCGAATACAAGAAACAGAAAGCTCTGCGTTTACTAATAGGGCTGTAATAATCTAATTATAAACCTGCCCTTCGATCAGCAAAGCCTGTAAAACGATACGGCTTGGTGAGATAAGACAGATTGTTTCAAATAAACGCTCTACCTCTGAAGGGAAAAAGAAAGTGAGGTTAATTCACGGTCACACTGCGAGACTGTAAACACAAAAAAGAGAGGACGGCGGCAGAAGCTCCCACACAAGCCATCACCGTTCAGAGTTCCGGCTGACCTATTTATAAGTAACTGCGATTGACAAAATGCTTTTGGATTAGTCGTCGAATTGAGCTGGAAGGTGGTGCTGCTGTTTACTTTTAGGATAGGAGATTTAAAGAGACAGTTCACTCCAAAATTTTTAATCTGTCATCATTTACTCACCCATTACTTCTTTTAAACATGGATGAGTTTCTTTCATCTGTTAAACAGAAAAGAAGATATTTTGAAGAAAGCTGAAAACCTTTAACCATTGACATTTCCTACTATGGAAGTCAATGGTTACAGGTTATTCAGGCGAAGAAAGAAACTCATAAATGTTTGGAACGACTCAAGGATGAGTAGGCTAAATAGTGAGTAAATGTTTATTTTTGGGTGAACTATCCCTTTAAATCAGCCCTATTCTCTCAGTCTGACATGCTATACATATAGTTCTAGACAGTGTCCTCATCAACGATAACAGAAATTCATTGTAAAGCAATACCCTGCGAGCTAATGTTTGTCTCCTCTCGGGCTCCCCATGGTAAACCTCCTGTGACATTTTCCACTGCCAAGATCCACAACGTCTCACTCTTTCACCCTCTTGTTTTCCCCCTCTCCTTCAAACTCAATCTTTATTCATATTGAACTTTCCTCCGTCTTTCCTTTTTGGTTCTGACTTTAATCCCATGCTTTATTTTTTGTCATTCCGAACATATAATCACAGCTAATTGTGGTTGCTTTTCTCTGATAATACTTTGCGGATTCAAGTTACGTTACATTTGCCAGGCCCGAAGAAGGCATGGAGAGCTTCCAAACGTTACACAGACCTTAAATTAAAGCTTAAACACAAAACAAACTGACATGAGGACAAAGCCTTTGATAAACGACAGTGACTTTGAGCCATTTAAGACGTTTGTATAATTTGTCGGCCTGCGCTGAATTTGATTAGGGATCACAGTGGAGCTTTTTAGTTTTTGTCTTTCCTAAATAAATCAAACTAGGCCGAGCCACCAGTACAGTAATTCATTTCTCTGTGTAAATTGTGTGTAGCACACAAGACTTAATAATAAATCTGAAAACGTCTTGAAACATCTCCAGGCTTTTTGGGTTTTTTTTTGAGACTCAAGTTGTGAGGAGGTTTCTGTTGTACAAGAATAAAAGCCTCAGGAAAATATTTTCAAGGATTAAACATCACCATGGTGTTTGCTGAAGGATTAAAGACTTTCAGATTTCCAGAGGGACGGCTATCAATGAAAGACATTTAATTGAGAGATATTGAGTGTGAATGCACTGAAAATAGATACATATATACACTCACATTCTCTCTCTCTCTATATCTATCTCTCTCTCACACACACACAGCTGTTGCCTAATGAACATTCTTCAAGACTAACATAAATATCCTGTGCTCACTCTTGGTGCACCGGCCAGATGGGATGCTCAAACAGTGTTGTCCTAAAAGATGAGTAAACACCTCCGTTTTACACTATTATCAGAGTCTACAGGGACAAACAAAGCCCTGGTTTACACCAAGAGGAGTGCTAACAAACAGTGCTACTCCCCTCATTTAGCGCCATTAGCGCTGTAATGAAAACTCTGCGAAGCGAATGTACTTGATGACGATCAAACTGAACATGATAAAGTACTTTTCTAATGCGATTACCTCCAAAAACGGCTATTCGGTGAAGTAACTCGAGTTAAAATAAGTTCATAATTACTCCAATCTGTCCATGTCATGTTTAATGTTTGTATTAATTATGTGCACCGAAGACGAAGAAGAAAAAAAGCACTTCTTGAGGGGTGCTTATATATTCTAGGCTGTTGGGGCCCCAGTTGGATTGGGGAAAGAAGCTGGGGTGCACTGACAGGCACGTAGTTAGTATTCTAGGAGTGTAACATTCAGTCAGACAGAGCAGAACAGGACGGTGATGGCCCGAGACTTCATAGAACACCCAGAGGGCTTTAAAAACGCATCACAATGGACTCTTAATAAGGCCTGTCTTCATTGGCTATTTACCAGAGATTTATGAACCAATGAGGGAGCCAAGACAAAGGTGATTATAAGGGGAAAAAACAGTTGTTACCCATGGCAACTGGGAGATTTTTGCTGAACACAATGGGACCGGTCATTGTAAAGGCGAATGTTTGTATGTACAGGTGCGTACTAGAGGACTGATGGCATGCAGAGTATGCACTGTATTAGTATCAGTGTTGGCTATGCTCCTTTAAAAGAGTAATTAGTTAGATTTACTAGTTACTTCTCACAAATAGTAACTGAGTTAGTAAGTTATGCATAATTATAAAAATAACTTATTACCAGGGAAAGTAACTACTGAGTTGCTCCTACTTTGTCAAATTAGATTAGAATTACATGTCACCGAATTTGAGAGACTCTTTTTTCTTGATATAAGTTGCCAGATACATAAATATTTTTGCCTTTCAACTCAACGAGGGGAAAGTAGTGCTTATATTTCCAGTTTGTAAAAGCTACCTTTGAACTTGTTGGATCTGCCATCATTCTGACTCCTGGTCGTTGGTGTGTGCTTGTGTGTGAACACCCACACAATGGAAATGTACTCTATCTAAGCCAATCATCACGTTCTCAGTTACACCACGTTTACAGACACACCAATCATTATCACTGGTTGGTTATGTGTCCCGCCCCAGCCCCGAACACACACACCCACCCTAGAGAAAGAGAGGTCCTATGGCTGAGAGAGATGCTGCTCGCATGAAAACAGCTTCAGTGTTCTCAATTATAGTAACGCACAGCTTTTATTGTCAGTAACGATAACGACATTGTCAAACCGGTCATTTATTTGATTACTACTGAAAAAAATATTGCTGTTAGTAACACTGTTTATTTATTGCACCGATATCAGTATACAATACAGAACACATACTGTAGTTAATTCTGTAGCTATGTTTCCATCCACCTATCTTGGAGATAAAAAAAATCAGTTGATGGAAATGCCAAGATGTCAAACTTTTTATTCAATAAGAAAAGATGAGCACTACGATGGAAACACT